ATTATACTTGTCCAAAAAATTACGGTACCTGTAGGTACCTACTTTATTGTGGTTGTTTATAATAAAAACAAAACAATGTCACGGCGCTGCAGCCTCCGACCTTTGCATCATCAATCACACCTCCCTCACCCCTCCGCCGCATGCACCGCCCCCCTCGCAGGCCCACAGATAGCTTTCACCTCCATTCCTGAACACCATCACACAAGCACTGTTCAATTGTTTATATCTTGTACGAATGATATGTTACCTTAAGTTATTCATTTTAAAGTATTAATTACAAATAAAATATATATACTACCAGTGTGGTTCTCCTAAATAGGTGTAATCAGACGGTTGATGTATTGTCTTTTACCAACGTTATTTGTTTCTCATCTTTCAGATTTTCAGACAGAACGGCTAAGGCAATTTGTCCACTGCTGAGGTAATGGAGTTATTAATTTTATGGTACAATGGGACTGGCATGACCTGTTAGATTGTTTAAGATTCCCTAAATTATAAAAGAAATAAAAGAAAAAAGTCTTACAAATTAATTTTGACTTATCATTGTTGTTTCTATCATCTGAGAGTCCTTCCGAGATATTGATATCATCATCATCATCTGTTTCTTCCATATCTTATTTATTTGGGGTCGGCAAAATATGTTTTTCTCTTCCATTCATCTCTGTTCGCCATCATCTCGTTAGATATTTACTCCCTTTCTTACCATATCATCTTTCACACAGTCCATTCATCTCTTTTTCGGCCTTCATCTGCCTTTATAACTATCCATATTCATGTGTAGATTACCTACACCTACTTTCCTTAAAATATTGTCTTCATTCCTAATCAGAGGTATTGATGTAATAGTAAGTATACAGGTCGACAAAGTATAACATTGTATTACAAGGGATTAGAAGAGACTGAAATCATCATCGTGTAAAAAAACTTAAAATTTAATCTAATCTATAAAACTCACAAATGGCAGGGGCTAAAATTTCGTAATGCCACATTTCAATTACAGTTTTAGAAACACCATTTACCATCAGATGGGCCGTATTGTTGTTTGCCACCATAGTAATATAAAAAAACATCAAATTTTAAATATTTAATATCACGATAATTAACTACCCTTCTGAAATTGTTGTGGCGTAATTTATGAATGATGCCTTAGCAAATAACTTTCTTGAAAACAAAACATTGTTTGTAATACAAAAACAAACTATTGAAACCCCACTCGGGTTCACCATCAATAAAAAGAAGCATCCCATTCTCAATACTTGTAGTCCGTCCCTAATGAGGAATAACGGCACGAGCGTGTGTAGCCAGCCTAATGTGAAATGAAACAGACTTATTGAATATACACATGCTAGAACGAGACAAACGCTGATCTTTAAACTGAATTGGGTAGAAATGTAGTGTTCACCTATAACTGCGTATTCATTGTTTAGTTTGTTTGTTTTCTTTTTATATCTTACTGACTTTCAATGAAAACTGTGAATACCTAATAGAATAATGGAGGGAAGGGCATTGTTAGAAGTGACCCCATTGGTGGCAATGTACCATGTCAGGTTGACCTCCACGCGGTTCTCCCTGGAAACCTTAAACTCGTAGTGAATTTGCCACGGTGGGCTAACTGACCTGACCTCGCGTCCATCCTATCATCCTCTATAGCTGCCCCGCGAGCGTAAACCGTTATAGGAGGCTGTGCACCATACCATTGTCGTCCATAAAAAAATGTAGCGTGATGGATATTGTTAGTAATGTGGGATAATGTTCCCATTGCTAGCAATGTATCATGTTAGATTCCAAGCGATTCCCACTGAAAACTTGACAATCCTGGTAAATATGCCGCGATAGGCTAACTGACCTCACCTCATGCTCATCTTATCATCCCTCATTGTTGTTCCACACCCTTTCGCGTAAACCCTTGGCGTAGACGAAAGCACTACTCCATTACCACCATTTAGGGGGGAAGGGGATTGTTAGTAATGTGGACTCATGACTCAGGTTGACCTCCACGCGGTTCCCCCTGGAAACCATCGTGATAAATTCCTGGTAAATTTGTCACGATGGGTTAACTGACCTGACCTCATCTTATCATCCTCCACTGGTGCCCCGTCAGCGTAAACCGTTAGCGCAGGCGGAGACACCAATCCATTACCATCCTTTAAAGAAATACCACCCATTTAAATAGTAGAATGATATCTTAAATTTAATAGTGATAGACTCGCCTCAATATTCCAGTCAAAATTACCCGATTAGCGAAGTGTAGGTGTGTCAAGTGTAAAGTGTCAAATGGTAAATTTTGACAATTAACAATATTTCTATCTATCTTAGGTACTTAGGATAACATTCGTTATGATATACTTATGCATCTATTATTCTTTTTTATTATAGGTACCTAATAGTTAAGGTAAAAATAGGTATGAGGCACTCTTATTTGTCAGTGACACCTGCAGTGCATTTTGAGCAAAATCCAACCAATAACAAGAATAGTTTTCAATTTATAGGTTAGACATATACACTCTAACACAAAACTCTACATATACATAGAGCAAATGTATCTTTAAAATATTACCAATAATTTTGACTCATCTTGTAACTAATAATAAAAATAAACTCAGAAAATAGATATTAAAACCTACTTATAGGTACTAGTAGTCTATACTTAAAGTTTCTACCAAAGGTACCATCATAGAGCTATAACTTGGCTATTATCATCGGAATTGTATTCTGAAATGTCTCTACACTTTATTTCTACTTTAAGTAGAGATTAATTTGTTTTTTAGTAGTTACCTAATTAATAATGAAAACTTGTTCTTTTAAATTATATACTGTGTCAATATAGCCAGGTAGATAAATAATTATATTTACGTTAGTTAAGTTAGTTGAAGATGATGTGCCACTTACAATATAGCATAACGTCATGTAAAGTAATTGATCAAAATATTAGTTTTAGTAACTTAAACATTTTGTTTATGTTTAAGTTATTTTATTTTGTTTATGTATATTTAACAACTTCGTATTTCAGAATCTACATAAAACTAATATTTTGATCACTTACTTTACATGACGTTATGCGATATTGTAAGTGGCACATCATCTTATGTCATCTTCATGCTTATGTCTTAACCTTATTTAGCATTATATAAAAGCTAGTTAATTCAATGTAGATATAAAAATCTTATCAACAAATCCAATAAAGTTTACCTATATCTACCTTTATGTTGAAATAATAAAGTGAAAAACCTTGTTCGCCTCAAACGAATACTGGAAAACTCTCATTAAGCGTTCTCTAATTAAAAAGTAATTAAATTCGCGAGAGAAAAAGATAGCACGACATTTAACTGATACTAATAAGATCGTCAAACAATTACGAGCGGTTCATCCACAGCCCCAGAGAGAGAGGGTGGAAACAGCGATACTCTTCTCTCGCTCCCCCGTGCACGGCTCTCTATTTAACTTTTAATTTATACTCATTCCTTTATATCTTTTATTGCTTCGCCCATCGCGACTCCTAATGCGCCTGAGGTGCTGCTCACACTAATTAAATTCATGCAACACTAAGCTTTCTGAACACCCCCCTACGAGAGACTCCACCCAGCGGCCCCCTCCACCCGTCGCCGACCAATCAGGACGCCGAGCGGCTTTTTCACAAAGAGGAGGCGGGGAGTAATGTACAGTCAGTACGAGATTTCTGATAGAGCTGTCACGTCGCGTCCGAGAGATCGTTACGCGGTCCTGACACATTTTATTATTATTTATGTCAATTAGGTTATTACTTTTTTGTTTAATGGAATAAGGAATTGCTTGTGAAATTGATTGCCTTTCGGTTGCTTATGATTCATCACTGTCAAAAATATAATATGGAACGTGTTAATTTATATGATTGATAGTTCGTCCGTCATTAGAGTGATTGGACAGATACCGGGCATAATCTAGTTTTACGCAACACACTATTGTTTGGGCCTAATAGAGCCTGCGTCTTCCCTTGTTCTATTTAGACGTTGATTGCCTCGGCCGTGGCTATGACCTGTCAAATTAGATATCTAAGTGCACGGCACGCTAGATGAAAATCAAATTTGTCAGAAGCATTTCCTCTAATTATCTATGTTTGAAGCGAAGCCACTATTACTTTTGTATTATCTAGAAGTTTCTTCATAAATTCAAATTATACGTAACAATAATTTCACTTTAAATTATTTAATTATACTGACATTATCTTTGGGAGAGATAAGTAGCTGTAATTCAGATAGGTATAGGTCTATCAAATACACGTTGACTGAAGATATTTTATAATCTCTGCAATCGATCAAAATATAGCTACAATTTAATATATATCTACCTACTTCCTTAATTAATACCTAATAGCAGGTTATAGAAAATATCCAAAGAGATAGAGATAAATCCGTTTGATGTATTGATATGGTTCCCTAGATAAACCTTAGGAAACTAGTCATATGAAATAAAAGGGACCGAATTAATGAGATACCAATGCCTAAATAGGTAATTCATATAAAGCTATGAGATTGGTAGGTACTCAACGTACAATTTCACGAGAGAAAAATATTTGCGGTTAAGTTTCATAACGTAACTCTACAGTAACTGTAACTCTATATTTCTGTTTGCGGCGACTCGCCATGCGGCTAAAAAAGATTATGACAGGCTCACAGTCTCGTGTAAATGTACGACAGCCGCATAAATCGAATGTACAACCATTTGCCGAACGATAACAAACTTTAATACGAAAACCATGAAGTTTATTTCAACTTACCGACACCCGTCTCCTGCGTTTTCGTTAATTCAATGTATGCTCGTTCTTAATTTATTATCCGATGTTCAATATCGATCTTTATGATTACAGCATAAGGTTTAAAACTGTTTACCGTGCGGGCTCGACGTACGGTCGAGGAATAAATCTATAATATGAAAGAGGCGGGGAATTAATTTGCTCGTAGGTGGGGGTAGGGGGCCCGTCGCCCCGCCCAGCGTCGGGCGCGCCATCTCAGTGCCGGGCCTGGGCCACGCGAGCGCACCAGCGAACCACGGCTCAAACGCGACCACTATCGTAATGTTTGTCAAATAACAGCCGACGGACGGAGTGTCACTAATTACGTACTATTTGCGAAGTGATTTGTGCTTAAAAAAATAACAACTATTGAAGTGACTAAGTAAGGAGAACAAACGATTTGAACGTGATATATAATTAGAGGAAATAAATGAAAATGACAGTTGAGAATGTATCGCGCCGTCGGTGAACGGCGTAGTGTTGTGCGTCGTTGGTAGCCAAGATATCGAGCGGGGGCCGAGGCGGCGGCGTCGGCGGCATGGTGCTGGAGGGCGGGCTGCCGGCGCCGCTGCAGCTGTACGCGGCGGCCGCGGCGCAGCTGGCCCCGCGGCCGGCGTGGCCGCCGTTTCTACCGTTCTTTGGAGTCCCTCCGCCGTTCCTGGCGAGGCCCAGGCTGCCGCACCCGATGCCTGCGAGAGCGCCGCACGGACCTCCTAGCGAAGACTCGAACGAAGACGGCGGCAGCAGTAAAGGTAACTTTTTTTTAAACGAATATTAAGTGATCCTTATAGTAAAGGTAACTTTTAATTAAATTTCTTTAAATGAATAGTAAGTACCTAAGTAATAGGTTCATAACATTAATATGTAGTAAAAACATCCGGATATAAAAGTTTAGAAAGTGAACTTAATCCCTATCGTAGGTATTCAAATAACCTATCTACTTAATATAGGTACCTACCTAAATATAAACTGACCAAAACTGTTATAGATAGAATACCTAATATCTAGGTATTTTAAATTATCTGAGAATTTTCTAATAAATATTTGTACAAGAAAAGAGTACAATACCTAATTAAAAACATATAGGTAGGTGTCTAGATAACAATTTTTTTATTTAATTACGGATTACTAGATACTTAATTTATTATTTACAAATATATTATCCACTCAATTACATGCATAGATAATAACGATCCAAATGAAAAGCTAAATGCGGTAAATAAAGGCCAACAGACAATAATGTATAAATTTGCAAAATTTATTACAGAAACAAATAATGATAACTTATAACGGACTTCTACCATTAAGTAATCTACAAAAATGAATTCATAATTAAGATACCTAGATATTATATACCTATAGTCTAAGTATATAGATCTTCTTAAGTAGAGTAATTAAAGATAGAATAAAGTAACATCCAAATAAAATGCTTAGGTGTAATAAGCACCTGCCATTAATTATACCAAATTATATAAATTCCATCGATTTTTTTGTTTCTGTGTTAGTTTAATAAAAGAAATTGTTTTTAATTACCTATTAATTAAATAAATTCGACCTAAACGAGATTCGATGTGACTTAAACAACGGTAGTGTGGAAGAAATTCTCGCTAAAGTACCTACTTGGTTTTATTTATTTACCTCGTAAGAAATCTAGCTTAAAAAAAATAGACTAGGCTTATCTCTACAAAGTAATTTACTACTTATAATTATTATATTTTTTTTATACCACAACATATACATTCAATACATTATTTATAGTATAAGTATTATATACTATAAATTATATTACATATAATTTATAATAATTATTTTATTAGTTTTTTTTAATTATTATTACAATAAAAAAAAACTTATAAATAAATTATTAATAAGTCTGCTAGATGTCGGATACACTATAATTATACACATATACTAACATTTCTTTAATAATTAAGGGTAATTAATTATACTTGTATATTGATAAATGATAATAATCATTATTATATGTAGTTTCGAAAAATAATTTTATATCCGTCCACAATAGGTATTGATATTCTAATAAAATTATGATTGTAATAATTAGTGCGGAATTTTTTCTATATCTTACAATCTAAAAAAATGATTTTACTAAATCTTACTCAATAGGTGAAACGAGTTCTGATGCTAATTTTATTAAAATGTAAACCATTAAAAAGCCAATCAACCAGCAGATATCAAATCTTACAAGAACACAAAGCATCGTTAAATATTTCTATTCATATGAAAATATCGATAAATCAACGACATGTCACTGTCACAACACTACGGATCGTGTCCTTGAATGTATGATTATGTCATAAACTTTTGTCTTAGTAGGTAATTTTTTTTTAATAATATTTTAACTGGAATGAAAAAGAACCTGCCGGTCCACATTATGGTCTACCGTCAGTCATACTATATGAACAGCACAACGACCTCAAGATTTTACGCGATGCCCATTGTAACTGGCCATTCCCGTCAAACTAAACTTCAATATTACTACATTCGTACTACCTATATAATTTCATGAAATGACAAATGTACTAACGGCTTACGTTATGGAAAATGGCGTCCATTGCTCATACCACCGTACTGGGTTACATGAACAGCATGTTGATTTTATGCAGAACCCATTGTACCTAGCCATTGCAGTCTAATTAAGGTTCCATAGTACATTCGTATCTACTATATAATTTCCTACAGGACTTATCTAAGCGTCAAGCCAAAACACAGTTTTCAAAGCTTCATGGCAGTACCTACCTAGAAACCGATGTAGACTTTATAAAAAGTCGTTTGCATGGATTTGGTTATTGGTTGTTGCTTAGTTTCACCTATTTTAGCCACCAAGCATCTTGCTTTGTTGGAGGGTACGATAAGATAGTTTCGGTTGTCTAGCGGTTTAGCTTTACTTCCGGTAGTCGGGGGTTTGATTCCTCGCACAGTACAAACATTTGTATTTATGAGTATGTTTATTGTACTGGTTTGGATGTATTCTATGTATATTATGTATATATTTGTAAGAAAAAAAAACATATATTTATATCAGTTGTCTAGTACCTATCCATAATACAAGCTCTGTTTAACTTGGGATTAGACGGCACTCTGTAAATTGTCCAGGGATATATATATTATTTAAGGGAGAAAAATTACATCAAATGATAACGTGATGTCCGTATTGTTGTTCTTATGTATAGCCGACGGTTACCACTTACCATACTTATACCTATATATGTCAGACTTATATATATAACAGATATTTATGTCACATAATTATAATTTTAATTATTTAAATCATTAAATACATGTTATTATGTAACGATATGTGTTACATTTGTGAATAAAATAATATGATATGGTAAACCAAATTGTGAGAGCTAATAAAAAATAATCTAATATTGAATGCGTTGGTTACTGTGGTATAATTACAAGTGTCGGCGGTGTCGCTTTTAACAGCTCGTTAACACAACAAACAACTGACACATGTAACCGATAAACTAACGCTGCAAACGCATGTAAACTGAATTTACGACTTACCATAAATACTTATGACTTTGATTATTTATATATCTAATGCAAAAGCGAAGAGGACTGATAAAGTTAATAGCATCGGAAAGTTCCAGCAAATTAATTTCTTAACACTTAGACCAAACATCATAACCTATTGCCGTGTTGCCATTAGCAATATCGCTTTAATAAATTATTCCAAATTCTAACATTATCTACAACTTATTTCTTTTTTAATTCCATTCGATAGGTGTCTATTTTTTTATTATTGCAACACTTAAATCGCTTTTATGCGGAGCGTGACCGCTGTCGTTATTAGTTATGATTAAAAATTTATGACACTCCAATATATAATGCATACAAAACTGTAATCAAGCGTCAAGGCCAATTAATTTTTATATAATGGCAACACTAATCCAATAACAAAACACCTACGTTTAACTCAATAATTCAAGTGTTGATTTGGCGATTGAATTTCTTGGCCTTAGATTTAATAGTTATGTTGATACATTCGCTACGTATTTATATTATTATTAACTATCCACTAGTTGAGCCCGTGACTTCGTACCTGTAGTATTCAGAATAGTAATTTTAGGTTTTTAAATATTTTGTTTATGAAACTATTGGAATAAAATAATTAAAAAGTCAAACCAATGACAATATAGGTTTAGTTTTAATTAGTGAAAATAACACGTATTTTTTAAATTAGCGCTCAATAAACAAACAGACAAATGGACAAAATTTCTTATAATCATTGTTTTGGGTTGTGTTACATCCATAGAGCTCCTCAATAAGGTTTTTTCTCATATATAGGTACATCTTCTAAGTAGGTACTTATAGACTGCGATCAGGTACATTTAGGTACAAATAAATTAAACTGAAATCTTGAAACTTGTAATTTCAAATGAATAGCTTTCCACTAAATGCATTTAAATGTATAGGTATGATGAATTTACATCAAAATATTAATGTTTTAAATAATTGTCTGTCTGTTTGTTCTTTCTCTGAAACGGGTGAAGTGAATCTGACAATTTTGTTAATGTTATAAGGACTGACTTAGTTACTTTTATTATATATATAAAGAAGGCAAATTGCATATGGACGAACTCACGGGTAACATCCAGTTTTATTATAACATAAAATGTATCGGAATTAATCAAGTTCTTTTATAATAACTTGTCTTATTAAGGAAGGTAATTGGAAACCATCGATAGTAGGTAGATATAATTTTATAAGATAAAATTTAATTTCATTACTTATGTTAATAAGTTAACCTGTTTCAATATAAGTATATATATTTAATAAAAAAAAGTTAATATATAATTAACTATACTGGTAATATAGTAGGTGTGTTCTTTCAGATTAAAATTTTAATATGGGTACCTATAGAAATATTTATGACTATACTTCATATAAAAATATAGCAAAACCAAGAATATAATTCAATATTTAAAATAACACTACTGAACACAGCTTGATTTTTGATTTACCCTACTTTTTGATTTCGGATTGCATACCATTAACTCACGAAAGCTTCAAAATTAAAATAATGAATAAATGACACGTTATAAGTAATGAATAATAAAATAAATAACTAGTCAATTTGGTCGTCCGTTACACTTATCCTTAGCAATAACTTATTGGTTTAATAACATTATACCATTATTCCCGAAATATTCTCGGGGACTGGTTTGAATAAATTGTATATTAATAAAAAATAAACGTGAGCCAAGGTGCGAAGAGGCTAACGAGCGTAATCCAAATGTAAGTTATTAGTTGCACGGCGTGGCCGCCTGCTGCGCGCGAGTCGTTCCACTTGTCGATGTCGGTATCCAGATTTTTATCGACTCTTTGTCGGCACTAGCACTGAGGTGTTACCCACGAAATTAGGATGTTAAATGTTTTGTGGATGACGCATGGCCACGCGGCCGACCCGCTTTGTATCTCTGCTTATTGTATGCGTGTATGTTTTTTTTGTACTATAATAGAAATATCAATAGTTTGTCTTTTTGTAAACTCTAGTGAGTTATGATTAGAAAAAAATGTGTGAAATGATTAAGGCCGGTTATGAATTTATAAGCAGTCATTTAAGCTTTTGTTGATACGCGATTTATTGAGTATAACGACACTGGTGGATATCTAACTAGTAATTCGAGTTATAAGAACATTTTTTATTATTTAATACTTCATTTTAATATTTAACTAATACTAAAGTTACATTTTATAATCGATTAAGATTTTTTTTTATTCA